CCGCCCATCTCCACACAAGGGGCCCCGGCTTTGGGCAGACTCACGAGTACACACCAAAGGCCAACTGGTTAATTAAGTCTTGCTCAGTGCGGCTCCCTGGTGGTCTCCACCAAGGTCATACCAGCTCTCCCATCCACACCCCACCTAACAGCAGATACATTCTAAACCTCCACAGTCCAAGCACCTTTCAAAACCTCACCTCTGAGGTTTTGAACATGATAGTAAGGCCTGCTGTGTATCATGTCTGAGAGTTTTGCAAGGAGAACAATACAACGGAGAACATGTTTTATAAGATTATTTTATAATGACCACCCAAAGAATCATGGACAGGACTGCAGGAAATGTGTCCACACACTGAAGACCAACGACTCCAGCTGGGGGCCTGAATCCCTCAGTAGTGTCCTGCATGAGTCCAGCTGAAAACCTAGAGCCCATAACGACACCTCCCACAAGTCCCGCTGGAGGCATAGAGCTCATGACAGGGTCTCAGGCAGGACCACTTCACGGATCTGTGTGGGAAGGCCCAGATGTCAGTGGTAGAAGCCAGAAAGCCTGTGCCAGCTGGGTGAAGGGACGGTACCAGAAGGCCGAGCTACTGTGCTGGAGGCAGGAAGCAGGCTAGGCCGCTGTCTGAACTGAGTACAGTGGAGTCAGTGACTTCCATGTGGTCTCTGCGAGCTGCGGAGCACGACCTGCTGTGGTGGTTGACTATGAAGCAAAAAATCTGCACACACAGCAGAGCATCAGGCCATCGCCCTGCCTGACTCACCATGTGGAGACTTCTGGCTCTGAGCAACTCACCGTGTTTCCACCACAAACAGAATACGGACCACAGAGAGGAGGACAAGGCTGTGGGCACTCAGGCCCAGTCTCTCGGGACCCATCAGAGGAGATGTCTTCAAGGACAAGGCCTGTCTTGGCCCTGAAGCTGTTGTTGTGTCCTCTCCTCATCTCTTATTCCTGTGACAAACCACAGATTTGTAAACACAGTTTATAGGGTCTTGCAGGCAAACAACAGGAGCCCTCGCTGCCACTGCTAGAGCATTGTTTCATCGGAAGCGAAATCGCAGGCCTGGCATTGAAAACAGAAAAGCACCTTTAATGAAAATATTGCCAAGCACGTTCTCATAGATTTAAAAGATGAGTCAGGGGAAGGCAGGAGAAGCGAACTGTTAGGTCTAGAGCTGTCACTAACTGTGTACACAGGGGCACAGACTCGGGAATCACTTCCTAATGAGAAGTAATCCCTGGATTTAGTAAAATGCATGAGTAGGGAAGGGCACCGAAGCAAAAGTAAAAATGTGCAGATCAGTTGAAAGTGCACTTTGGGTGGGTCTGCCTAGCTAACGGGAGAGTGAACTTCGCCATTTCTGGCCAGCAGGGTGAGCTCCATGACAGTCACATGATCAACCATAATAAATTGCCCAAATAAAC